AACATTTCTCCTTCTTTTAGCCCCAAACAAAGGTACACTGGTTGTATCCTTACAATGTCCTTTTCTTCCAAAGTTACCACTCAAATTATGGGTGAAATGATATGATGTCAGATACTAGATTTAACATGCTCCAGAGAAACAAAACTCAATTACAATAGCAAGCAAGGGGAAGAACAGATGTATTAAGAATGACAAAATATTGGTAATCATTGAAGGCTTCATAGTATCTTCTACTCCTGTATATGTTTGAAAATCCATAATTAAAAGTTTTAAAGAAAAGAAAAGCTTCCATACAGAACAGGAGGGCAACAAAATGTACTGGTCTAGGCTTTGGCATCAGATATAATAGAGAAAGGGAAAGAAAAATCTTAGTTTTTAGTCTAAATTTGCATTATTCATGTAGTCCAAAAAACCTCAAGAGAATTTTATTTAAAGAGGGTCCTAGATGGCAGTGCCCTCAGGAAATTAGTGTGAACAAATGGATCTATCTCTAGAAAATTTAACTTCAAGCCAGGCCTCAAAGAATTTCCACATATAAAGTTTTAAGTAAATTGAGGAAGTCATGGTTAATAAAATTATATAACACAAATACACAATGTACCATAATTGCCAGTGACACTCTGTGAGGATGGTGGACTGCTGTCCAAAATCCATCCCCCTATCCAGTCAGTCTTTATCACTTTGAAATTTTGCAGCATCCTTGAATGCATCCTAGTCTTCTTTGCATTACTGGTGCTGCACTCTCTCCATGGAGATGAGTACAGTCACTGCACAGCTGCACCTGACCTTTTCATATAGCAACATTAATTCACTGTGATTCAAGTTTTTCAATGTAGGTTAGCTTCCTCTCTGTGATTCCTCTTACCTGGGGAGGGAGGTGCAAACTGCAGTTAAGGCGAAAGAGAGCAAGCACTACAGCATCTTAGACTGGGGGTTCTGATACTACACTGGGGGTGAAGAGATGATATAAACCGGAGAAGCCTTCTGCTAACTTTGCGACTGAGGCTACTGCCCTGAAGCAAGAGGGAGATTCTTTAGCTACTGGGTCAGGAGAGCAACTGTAATACCCCAATGACCTCTGATTTCCATTATGTTTGTGAGTTGAAAGTACAAGAGCTTGACCATCAATTTCCAATACTAACAGAAAAACAAAACAGCTTATTATAATTTGGGAGGATTCTTTTTTGTTTTTTTTTTAAGATTTTTATTGGGGAATTGGGGGGATGGGAACAGCGCTGTGGAATTGGGGAAGGGGAACTGACAAGTTGCTGTCCTTTTGTTCTTCAGTCTAGTTGTGGAGGACGTTGCTTCACTGGCCCACGTTGGCACCATCATTGCGCTCTTCCCAGGCGAGGCAGATCAGTCGCCGGCTTCTGGACGGGCGCTCGTGGCGGCTGCTGGCCGCTCACGCTGGCTGCTCACGCTGGCTGCTGGCTACACATGGTAGCCCATGGCAACCCACTGCCACAGGGGTTGCAGCCTACACCGTCGCAGGCGACACAGCCCAGCTCCAGGTTGAGCTGTTGTTCAGCATCTTAGCTGTAGAGAACTGTGTCACTGGCCCTCATATGTGGGATCTGAACCAGGGCCCTCTGGCGTCCCAAGCCAGTTCTTAACCATCGCGCCACTCGGCCGGCCCAAATTTGGGAGGATTCTTGATAGTAGCCTTGACTTGGTCAATAACTAACTCTGCAGTGACCTCCCATAGCAGAGATTTAAGGGTGTCGTTAGTCATGTCATAGAAAGAGGCAGATAATTACTTAAGTTGGCAATGTAGTTTACAATAAGTCTTAGGAATCCTGTAAGTTGCCTTTTGGTAAAAGGAGACGGAATTTTGAATGGCTGTAATTCTCTGGTGTGAGGACTTGTTTCCCAGGATTATGTCATGGACTAGATAGTGAACCTGCAGGGTCTGATCAAATTGTAATTTATCCTCAGAAACTTTATGTCTTTATACAGCCAAAATTTTCCAGAGATTAAGGGATTCCTCTTGAGAAGAGGTTAGATCAGGTGAACACAAAAGCAAGTCATCTACATCCAGATATAAGGTAGAAGAAGAGGGAGGTGAGTCTGAGAGATTATGGGAAAGAAGTATGAGGATCCTTTAGTGAGGACTTGTGGCATCACAGTGCAGGTGTATTGTTTTGCCACCTGAAAGTGAAAGGGTATTGGGAATCTGGATGTAAAGGAATGCTAGAAAAGGCTGAACAGAGATGGGCTACTGTGAAATGTGTTAATTTTAGAGGTATAGAAGCCAGAAGAGTATCTGGGTTGGGGGGGCCACAGGAAATGTGGGCACACAATACAGTTTACAGACCTTAAATTTTTTTCCAAAACGATGCCCACTTTCATTATTTTTTAAAGGGGGATAGGAGAGCTGCAGAAGCTGGTACAAGGAATGAGTAAGCTCCTATGAAATCTACAACAATAGGTCATAGTGTCTCTAGAGCTCTGAGTTTTGATACTGGCACAATTTGCCTCTAGTGTCTTCAAAAATCGATGTTTCATGGTCATTTACTAATAGAATTATTTCACCTTGTTGATCCAAGGGTCATTTTTAATATAAGTCATACATCTTTTTATACTCTCATGGTATGTGTGTGTGGCATCATCAGCTTGGACATCCAAGCAAAATTTGGGTTGAGGGGTTCCTTTACTGTCCGCAGGGTGTTTTTACTGCTTTAACTACTGCCCACCTCTGTTGTTTCTTTGACAGGGTGGCACTTGGGCAGGGTTTCATGAGAGAAGTTGCTCACAGCATGAGAACATCCAGAGGCTTATGGCACACAGGCCACCAATCAGAAAAGGAGGAGGGCAAGGGAACGTTTAGCGGGAGGAGAATCTGGGCGGGGGCATACATGTTGAGATAATGTAGCTCAGCAGCCCAGGAAGGGGAATTCCTGGGTCAGAGAGCTCTAAAGGGCCATAGCAGCTTGGGTCTTATTACCACAAGGCTCTATTTAATCAATTTTTCAACAGATGGTGGGTGAAGTTTCACAGGGTATACAAAGCAGGCAGACTCTAAATGGCTATAAGCATGCTTTTTGAGGCTATTTAAACAATAACTGGATGTGTAATAATTTGAGTTTGATGTCAGCAGGCTTTTGAGCTAATGGTCTCAACCTGTAGTGAACAAATAAACAACCTGGGGGCCAATACACAGAGCCCATCGGTAGCTTATTAACATCACAGCCCTTCAACTCGCACTGCATATCAAAATACGTTCTTGGGGTAGTAAAGATTGAAAAGTTTTAAGAATAATACAATTTGGAAGAAAATTAGAAACATATTTTTGTACTCTGCAGTTTGGGAAGACTTTTAAAAGCAAGCTAGCAAATATAGAAACCATGTTTTAAAAAACAGTATAGACTCACTGAACTATATAAAATTAAAGATTTTATACAGATATAATATAAAGTTAAAGGAGCAAAGTATGTTATCAATTCAATAGATGCAGAAACATTTGATAACACTGATCAAAAATTGGTAAAATATCTATAAACCAGATTTAAAAGGGATTTCTTTAACTTAATAAAGGCCACAACCTACAGCAAACAGCTTGATAATCATTACTGACCAAGTCAAAAATGCTTGATTTCTTCCTGACTTTATAACATAATTTGAGAGGCCCTGCACAAGCAAGAAAAAAAATGTTAATATTAGAACAAGAAAAAAATATGTACAGAAAATTGTATTTATATTTTAAGTCCAAAATAACAAAGAGACAACCATTAGAAGTCAGCAAGGTTTCCCAGTAAATGGGCCTACATAAATAATTATCAATAACCTTCCTCTGCATGAGCAGTTATCAATAAAACAATGAAGGGCTGGCTGAGTGGCATGTTGGTTAAGAGCTGGCTTGGGACGCCAGAGGGCCCTGGTTCGGATCCCATATATGAGGGCCAGTGACACTGCCCTCTACAGCTAAGATGCTGAACAACAGCTCAACCTGGAGTGGCCGGCAACTGCTGCGTACGCTGCATCTCCTGCTGCAGTGGGTTGCCATGGGCTACCGTGTGTAGCCAGCAGCCAGCGTGAGCGGCCAGCAGCTGCCATGAGCGGCCATCCAGAAGCTGGTGACTGATCAGCCTCACTCGGGAAGAGCGCAATGATGGTGCCAACTTGGGCCAGTGAAACAACGTCCTCCACAACTAGACTGAAGAACAAAAGGACAGCAACTTGTCTGTTCCCCTTCCCCCAATTCTCCAGCACTGTTCCCATCCCCCAATTCCACAATAAAAAAAACAACAATCTAAAAAAAAAAAAGTAAAACAATGAAAAGAAAAACTAAAGGTCTGATGAAAGGACTGAATGAATGGAAGGGAGATCTCATGGATCCGTACAGACTTAAGTCCTGTGTATAGCAACGTGGAGAATGTAGGTATAAACGCACTCGTGTGCATCCTGTTCTCTCCTTGAGAGCCTGAATAGGAGGCCCTAGCTCTAACCCCGCCCCTAGCCCCTAGCCCTGACCAATCTCAGCTCCCTCGGAATTTTCAATTAAGTCCCGCCCTAAGACCTGGCCCAACGCTAAGCCCCGCCTCTCTGAATATTCAACTAAGTCCAGCCCCACAGGACCAGTCAACCAAGCCCCGCCACTGACCTGGTCCCGCCCAGCTCCGTCCAATCCCTGCGCTGATCCTGCCCTAGGATCCAACCGCGTCTCTCCAGGGAGGAAACGCTAATCCTCCACTCTGTCTGGAAGCGGACACCGCCCCGCCCCTCCCGCCTCACGTAAACCTTATTTCCCAGCTCCTGAGGCCTGTTCCATACGCTGTGCGCGGCGCAGAAGCCGGAAGCAAAGGTGTGCTTTTGTGCGAGCGCGAGCCCTTGGCCGGGTTTCCTTGCGCCCTCTCTCGCTTCTGAGGTCAGTGTTCACCTCCGTCTGCGTACTGCCCGGCTTCGGCGGGCCGGTCCCAGACCCCGTACGCCGGAGGCGAAGGGCCGGGCCTTTGGGGCCGGCGGTCAAAGGGCCGCTGCCGCCGGGACCCTGTCCCCGAGGCTCCCCATCGCCGTGGCGCTTCTTCAGAGCCCTGGACCCCTCTCCCTTGGCTGCGGCTCCTCCCAAACTCACTGAATTGGGAACTCTGGGCTGGGGATCCAGCAGTCGGAGTGAGAGCAGACCAGAGTTGGGAGAACCACCCTCGTATTTAATCGGTCTCCAAAAAGCATCCTTTGTTCTCTTTTCAAAAAGGAAAAGCATCCTTGCCATTCGGGTCACGGGGACGAGACCTCACCTCGTCTTTACGCTGATCTGGGGATTTGGGCGTTAGGTGAGCACGGGGTGACATTTGCCTCTACTACGTCCCCACCTTTCACCTGGTGCAGGAGAGATTATTTAACCTGAATTTTACCCTGCCTGTGGGGTAAAATCCGTTTGATACATTATATTCAGGTGCATAAAAGTGAATTGCTTATATAATATCTTTGTAACCCTCCTCGCCGAATGCAGCTATACATTTAAATTTTTTTCCTGTAGATTTTTTTGAATATCACACCGGAAAGATCATATGCTAGTTTCAGCGTTTTCTTTTTTATTCCTCGTACCTTAACATTTCTTTTTATTTCTTTAGTGCACTTGCAGGGACCTCCAGTTTAGTGTAGAATTGCATACTATTTGCATCCTTGTCTTGTTCCTGATCTCAAGGAATTCTACCATTTCACCATTAGATGAGATGTTTACTGTAGGTGTTTGTAGATTTTTTTCCTAGTAAAACCTGTTCCCTTTTAGTTGTAGTGGGTGAAATTATTACCACCAATGGACATTCATATAGATCAGTCACTTTTGTATTTAAGGGGATGACAGTCATATGGTTTTTTTCTATTGTGGTGAATTATATTAATTGATGATTCTATTTTCAACTACCCTTCATTCCTAGGATGAAATGAAAACTTGGTTTGTGATTATTATCCTTATTCACTCCTCGACTGTACTAATATTATTTTGCACTAATGTGTATGAATGAGATCCTTTTTTTTAGTTGTACTTTTCTGGTCTTGGAAATAGGAAAAAAGTTTTTCCACCCCAACAATGGACTTTTGAATCCCATACTTACTTGGTTAGCCTTGTCAGAAAACAGTTTGTAACTTATGTTTCCTTTGTGGGTATTTTTTAAAACAACTGATTTTTTTTTCTTTAATGACTGGATATAATCAAATATTGTATTTACTTTAGATCATTGCTGGAAAGTTGTACTTTTCTCTCTCATTTGAAATTCATTCATTACCTGTACATTTTCATATCTGTTCCTTTTATTTTTTTGTTTTAGCCTCCCTGCAGTATCTGTAATTATGACGCATTCATAACTCTTTTTTTTTTTTGTCTGTGCTCCATTCTTAAAGAAAATTGCTAAGGGTTTGTCAACGTCATTAGTTTTCAAAGGACACTGCTAGCTTTTCTGATTCTTTTTATTAGTTTTTAGAAGTATCATTAATTGTGCCTCATTTTCACTTTTTTTTCTAACCCTTTATGCCAGTGGTTCTCAGGTTCTCAACCTGTGGGTCGCGACCCCTTTGGGGGTCGAACGACCCTTTCACAGGGGTCTCCTAAGACCATCGGAAAACAAAAAGATATTTACATTACGATTCATAACAGTAGCAAAATTACAGTTATAGAGTAGCAACGAAAATAATTTTATGGTTGGGGATCACCACAACATGAGGAACTGTATTAAGGGGTTGAGGCATTAGGAAGGTTGAGAACCACTGCTTTATGCAGTTCTTTTTCCAATCTTACAAGTCAATGCTTAACCTATGGATACTGATTTTTTTCTTCCCTGGGAATTGATGCTATTTATAAATATATAAGTATATATACTACACCAGTTGTGCATTTCCAGTGTTATCTGAAACAGTTACTTTAATTTTCTGCTTATGTCCTGCCACATGAGTAGTCCTGACTCTCTAAAGAGAAATATATGTGCACCTCCTTAACCCTATACGTAATGTACTACATTTTTATATAGCTCATGTAGCATATACCACCAACCGATAATATTTTGTTAACTGTCCTCCCTCAAAAGGTTATAAAGTCAATATACTGTAGGATTTTTCTGTTTCGTTCAGGTCTGTATCCCCTGTGACTGTATGTAGTAGGATCAGGAGAAATATTACCTCATAAATATGAAATGAAGGAGCAGGAGGTAGGGACCTTAAGGGAAGCATTGTGCTCAAGACATAGGACTTAGTCAAGAAAAGGAGCTCAAAGATAAAACATTTGAATAGAATACTTCTCTTGTCTACTCTGCATAGTGTGCCCAACAGGGTTCTAGGCCAGACCCTGGTAATATTAGGGAATGAGGGCCTTGCTAACAACTAAGTTGTAAGGCATATGTTCAGAAATATACATTGTATTTATACACATAAATGCAAATATATATATATATATATATAAATATATAAATGCATTTAGGATTTGAAGGTAAATAGACCTGCATACACACCCCGACTCAGCAGCTTTCTAATTGGGTAGCATTGAGTGCGTGGTTAATTGACTCTTTCTGAGATTCCTCAACTATAAACTAGTTGTAATCATATCTGATTTGCCATTTCTATGAAAAATAAGTAATTTCTTTGTAAAGGTACGGACATCTCTTTGCAAAGTCATTCTCACACCATGATTGCTTAAATGGGACACGTTATAAATATAGTAAAGAATATCAGCGTTTTTATTGGCTTTAAAATACATACTGGGTCCACTGCAGTGGAAGAAACAGTTGCTCTTTCATTATTTGAAATTTGTGCAACAGCGCTATAGATAACGCTATCAGAGATGACACACATTGCTAACTTCACTTGAAGTGTTCACATTCTGCTGCTTCTGTCTGTACAGGCAAAATTGAGAACGAGAATCACAGCGTAGCAGTCTTCTCTGCCTCCTATATGTGGAATTCAGTCAGTTGATGCTCTTTCTCAAAAACCGGGTTTCAGGGACCCTGCAGCCCATGAAGGGAGGGTCCAGTGATCATGGGCTGAGTAGTAATGCCTTTTAGCTTGCCAAGGGCTGCAGAAGTAAGAAATATTGGGAATGGATCCCCCAGATGTCTGGGATATAAGTCAGTGCTTTCTTGGATTTGAGATGGAGTGTATATTCTTAGTAGATTCTTAAGGTTGAAGGCATTGTCTGATTTTTTTGTGTGCTTTTCCTGGGCAAATTGACAGCTAAACTTTTAGACTTCAGTTAACTTACTTGGAAAATGGGACTCATAACCTTTTTTTAAATGATCATCAAGAACCAGAGCACAGTTTTCTAGCTCTAGAGGAGGTAAGATTACTTCACCTTCTTAGTAGATCAGTGTGTGTTTGCTTTGGTGTCTTGGGGGTATGCATGTGCGGGTTTTGTGTGTGTGTGTGTGTGTGTGTGTGTGTGTGCGCGTGCGTGTGTATGTTGAGCGGAGTGGTCACTCATAAAGGATGTGCTGCAGCATCCAGGCTCATGAGTGTGGAAATTGTGGGGCGACCTGGCTTCTCATGTCTTCTCTCTCCTGCCACAGCTCTAACTTCTCAGTACTCTGCCTTTCTTCATGAAGGGAACATGGATGGAGAAAAAACAGCTGCTGAGTTACAGACAAATATGACACAGGTAGGTAAGAGCTAATAATTCTCCAAAAGAATATTTTCAACCCACCAGGCCGTTGATCTATTTGTGAATTGGGCCACACAGTGTGTTGGGCTTTGAAGGCCAGAGTTTCTATTGGAACTCAACTCTGCCATTTTAGTGTGAAAGCAGCCACAGACAGTATATAAACATGTTTTATTGTGTTTTAATAAAACTTTACATACACAAACAGGTAGTAGTATTTAGCTTGTGTGCCATAGTTTGCTGAGCCCTGGCCTGGAGTATCAGGAAATATGGCCTACTGTGGGCCTGGATTGAAAGTTGTGCTTCTGCAGGCTCCTGGGCCACTCAGGTTTATGAAAAAAAGAAAAGCTCCCTGCCCCTCAGTGTGTTTTTATTCATGAAAACTTCATCTGGATTTGACCTGGCATTTCATTTTGGGCTGATTGCTGTGGTGGGAGAGAGAAAGCAGGTGAAATTGTTTCTGTAACAAGGGTTTGCTGGTATCAGTGTGGAAATTACAGTAAGTCCTCATTTAACATTGTTGATAGGCTCTGTGACTTTAAGCAAAATGACAGATGATGAAACTAATTTCACCATAGGCTAATTGATATAAACAGGAGTTAAGTTCCCATGGTGTCTCATCAGCGTTATAAAAATATGAAGTTATTCAAGGACCTGCTGTATTTCATTTCTAGAGCACTTCTCTCATGTTTGCTATACACTCTGGACTGTTCTGGATCATTATAATACTGGAATGGTTCACCATCAAACTGGAGAGATAGATTTAGTGGTTCAGAAGTGTTAAGTCTGCGAGACAGGATTTGGTCAGTCGGGAAGGATGTGTGGCGAGAAAGAGGAAGACACCTGATGGCTGAGGCCCAGGGTTGGTGTTGGGAGACCATAGAATCTTCAGAACTTCCTATGAATGGATTCTCAGTTCCGCAGTATTCTCAGCATCATCCACCCTCCTGAACACATTGGGGGAGTTGGTACCCTTCTGAACAGAATATGTGGGATGTTTCAGGACTCAGTGGTCTTTGAAGATGTGGCTGTGAACTTCACGCTGGAGGAGTGGTCTTTGCTGGATGGTGCTCAGAAGAACCTCTACAGAGACGTGATGCTGGAGAACTTCCAGAACCTGGCCTCACTAGGTAAGAACGGCAACATTACTTCATTTAGTTGTTTAGAAAACAAGTGTGTCTGACTAATCAACCTTATTCTAGGATTTGGGCTGAGGAATTGGGATACATTGGTAAATAAGACAGACACGGTCACTGACCCCAAGGAACTTATAGTCTAAGTAGCTTCACCATGAAAATAAACCTCTGTATTGAACTGACTTTTTCTTGTGGTTGAAATCCTCAAGGCTTGTGAAGTATTGAAAGTGTGGGCATAGACTTCAGGGGTCACTCGGGTACAGGGAGGTTTGTGGTTTGGGACCTTTTGAGAATTTGACTGACATGAATACCCTTTATCCAGAGGCCATCAGGAGTTACTTATAGTTAAACAAGTTGGGTTTACTACTCAGTGCTGTGAGGGAGAACACATGTCATGGGGAGCCGTGGGGTGTCCCAGTAAGAAGGAGTTAGAAAGCACACATTCTAGGATTTGAACTTTGGTTGAGGGATTTGGGGATGGGTCTGTAGAAGCAGGTTGTATTACTTTCCTAGGCCTTTTGTAACAAAGTACCAAAAACTGGGTGACTAAATAGAAACTTACCCTTTCACATTTCTAGAGCTGGAAGACCAAAATCAAAGTGGCAGTAGGGCCATGCTCCTTCTGAAGGCTTTATGGAAAAAATCCCTCCTGTCTCTTCCTGGCTTCTGGTGGTGGCCAGCAGTCCTGGGTGTTCTTTTCTTATAGCTGCTTTGCTCTGGTGTCTGCCTCCGTTCACACCGGCTCCTTCCCTCTGCCTCTAAGCCTCTCCCTTTTTAGGACACTAGTCATTGGATTAGGGCCCACCCTAACCCAGTATAACTTCATCTCAACTTGATTACATCTGCAAAGACCCTATTTCCAAATAAGGCCACATTCTGAGGTTCTGGGTGGACATGAAATATTTTTAAAGTACATTTATTTATTTATTGAGCAATTTTAGGTTCACAGCAAAATTGAACAGAAGGTACAGAGATTTCTCATGTACCTCTCTGCCCCCACACATGCACAGCCTTTCCCACTATCAACATCCCCACCTGTGTCGTGCATTTGTTCCAGTTGATGAACCTACACTGACACGTCAATGTCACCCAGAGTCCATAGTTTACATTAGTCTTCACTCTTGGTGTTGTACATTCTGTGGTTTGGACAAATATATAATGACATGTATCCACTAGTTTCACTGCCTTAGATATTCTCTTTGCCCTGCCACTTCATCCCTCTTTCCTTCTAATCCTTGGCAAATATTGATCTTTTCACTGTCGCCACAGTTTTCTCTTTTCCAGAATGTCATGTAATTGGAATCATACAGTATGTAGCCTTTTCAGATTGGCTTCTTTCACTTAGTAACATGCATTTAAAGTCCTTTCATGTATTTTCATGGCTTGATAGTGCATTTCTTTTTAGCACTGAATAATATTCCATTGTCTGGATGTACCACAGGTTATTTATCCACTCACCCACAGAAGGACATCTTTACTGCTTCCAAGCTTTGGCAATTATGAATAAAGCAGCTCTAAATGTGTGTGCAAGTTTTGTGTGGACATGTTTTCAACCCCTTTGGTTAAATTCCAAAGAGCATGATTGTCTGATCATATGGGAAAGGTTTGTTAGTTTTGTAAGAAACTTCCAGCCTGTCCTCCAACGTTGCTGAACCACTTTGCACTCCCACCAGCAGTGAGTGAAAGTTCCTGTGGCTCCACATCCTAATCAGCATTTGGTGTTGTCAGTGTTCCAGATTTTGGCCATTCTCATATGTGTGTAGTCATGTCTCCTTGTTTTTATTTGCATTTTTCTGATGGCATATGATGTGGAGCATCTTTTCATAGGCTTATGTGCCATTTGTATGTCTTTGGTGAGGTGTCTGTTAAGGTCTTTGGCTCATTTTTTAATTGGGTTGTTTTCTTATTTTGACTTTTAAGAGTTCTTTGTATATTTTGGATGACAGTTCTTTATCAGATGTGTCCTTTGCAAATATTTTCTCCCAGTCTGTGGCTTGTCTTTTCATTCTCTTGACATTGTCTTTTGCAGCGCAAAAAATTTTAATTTTAATGAAGTCCAGCTTATCAGTTCTGTCTTTTGTAGATTGTGCCTTTGGTGTTGTAGCTAGTAAGTCATTGCCAAACCCTAGGTCATCTAGATTTCTCTCCTATTATCTTTTAAGAGTTTTATAGCTTTGCATTTTAAATATAGGTCTGTAATCAATTTTTGTGATGAGAGTAAGGTCTGTATCTAGATTCATTTTTTTGGATGTCAATGTCTACTACAAGTTTTTGTTGAAAGGACTATTTTTTCTCCATTGTATTGCCTTTGCTTTTTTGTCAAAGATCAGTTGACTATTTCTGTGGGTCTATTTTTGGACTCTATCTCTGTTCCACGGATCTATTAGGTCTTCGGAAAAGTCATGACGCATGTTTGCAACAGATGGCACTAGTTCATTTTTGGAAGTACTAGAGTCATTCACATCTATGTTATTGCTATGTCATTTAATATCATTCTAAAAAAAAATTGAGCGAGTTGGTTGACTTTTGCAGATTTTATAACAAGTTGAAGATGGAAGACCAAACAGTGCATTTTTGCCATATTTTACTGTTTTACGTCCATAAAGGGAAGAACGGGTATCAAGCTTGTGAAAAGTTGCATAAAGTTTACCTTGACAATGTTCGACAAGAACGTCAGTGCCAGCGATGGTTCACGAAATTCTGTGTTGGTGATTTTGATCTCAACGATGCTCCTTTATCAGGGAAGCCCACCGAGGTTGATGATAACAAAATAAAGGCATTGATCGAGTTAAACTCATGTTACACGACACGAGAGATTGCAGAAACATTGAACATCCTTCATTCAAGAGTTCACAACCACCTGAAGAAGCTGAGATACATAAGCAAGCTCAATATTTGGGTTCCGTATGAACTCAAAGAAATTCATTTGATGGCATGTATAAACATCTGCAATATGCTCATTAAGCATGAGGAAAACGATCCTTTTTTGAAGCGACTGATAACTGGTGATGAGAAGTGGATTGTTTACAACAATGTGGTGTGCAAACGGTCTTGGTCCCGACGGGATGATTCGCCTCAAATGACATGGAAAGGAGACATTCATCAGAGGAAGGTTATGCTTTCATTGTGGTGGGATTTTAAAGGTGTGTTTTTCAAGCTCCTACCAAGGAACCAAACAATCAGTTCGAATGTGTACTGTCAGCAGTTGGACAGTTTGAACGAATCCATAATCCAGAAACTTCCAGAGCTTGTTAATTGTAAAGGAGTTGTGTTCCATTGCGACAACGCGAGACCACACACAAGTTTGATCACCCGTCAAAAATTATTGGAGCTTGGATGGGATGTGTTGCCACACCCACCATACTCACCTGACCTTGTGCCATCAGACTTCCACTTGTTTGGCTCTCTTCAAAACTCCTTGCGTGGTATAACGTTCAATTCAGATGAGGCTGTAAATCAGCACCTTGTTCAGTTTTTCGCAAATAAAGACAGGTCTTTCTATGAACGAGGAATTATGAAGCTTACTGAAAGATGGTAAAAGGTGATCAAACAAAATGGGCAACACATCACTGATTGATCTTTGTTCTTTATATAAATAAATGACCGTTGAAAAACATAGACAAATACATCATGACTTTTCCAAAGATCCAATATTTGGACATGAAATTTTGAGGGTCATTGTTCGACCCAGTTGGACTGAACCCAGTGGGATAAATTGGATGCTAACAGAAAGCGGGGCAAATTCTATTATTGTGTATTTTGTGGGTGGCACAGGGCCTTTTTTTTGCCTGCCTCTAGACTAAATTATGAAGTGGCCTTGTTTTATTTCATTTTACCATGGTCTCAGAGTAACCATTTTAAGATGTGGTATTCTGTGAGATTATTTATGTTCAACAGGAGAACAAAATGGCTGTATGTATCAGACCAGATTCTAATAATATTGAGTATTAGATATGAATGTCAGATCAGTTCTAGACATCAGAGACTATGTTGCAGTCCCCCCCCCCGCCCTTTAGAAATTTTTTTGACAAACAATTTGTTGCAGTTAAATTCACACCTGCCCGTCTTTAAAAGGTCAAAGTTTTGGCCTTTTCTTATGGAAATGTTTCTGGTTCTTCATTGTTTTCTTGCATGTGATATGCCTTTCTGCATTAACAGGGTATCCACTACACACACCCTGTCTGATCTTCCAGTGGAAACAAGAGGAGGACCTGGAGATAGCAAAGAGAAGACCTATCCAGGAGGAGCACCAGGAAGGCAAGAATTCTTGGGAGAAACTGTCCTGGTTGGGGGATATTACCTTTTGAAAAATCAAATTAAAGCAAAATAAAACTTTGTTTTGTCCGAAAGGCTGATTTCCACAAATACCATTGATTACTGTTTTGACTTTTTATCAGTCCTCTCATACTTTTCTTTTTTTTTTCTTTTTTTAAAAATTATGTTTATATTCTTTGTGATTTTTTTTTTTAAGATTTATTTTTTATTGGGGAATTGGGGAATGGGAACAGCGCTGGGGAATTGGGGAAAGAGGAACAGACAAGTTGCTGTCTTTTTGTTCTTAAGTCTAGTTGTGGAGGACGTTGCTTCACTGGCCCAAGTTGGCACCATCATTGCACTCTTCTCGGGCGAGGCAGATCAGTCGCTGGCTTCTGGAC